TTAACTATTTGTTACAACCTAGATGAATATTAGAAGCTTTAATATATTTAGTTATAATTACCAACCCATGGTAATAGTTCCCAATCCTTGGTAACAGTTCCCAAATATAATCAAAATTCGGGAACTAAATATCTTTAGTTGTCGAAACGAATCCTTTTTCTCAGTGATAGGCACATCCAATAGGCATGGAATTTTTTATCAGCTATAACTTCGGAACTACAAGTCCAACGAACTTGAAATTTAGTATGCAGATATATCAATTAATTAAAATTATATATAAATGGGTTTGTAAAAGGGAATGTGGCACATCCCATAGGCGTGGAAAATTTTATCAGCTATAATGTCAAAACCATAACTTATATGAAGTTAAAATTTGGTACGCAAACGTATCTATGGTAGTTGTTTATGGTAGGGTATCTTAATATATTGTGGCGAATACTGCGGCAACACAAAGCGAACAACGAGAAATTGGCAGAATGTTCGAGGAATGACGTAGACTGTTCCACAAAGAGACACGTCTAGTTGGATGAACACAGCGAACAGCGAGAGAAAGAGAATGAGCGATGAACTTCAGAACGTTCGAGAGTTGCCATGAGTGCGAGCGCAGGAGGTATATAGAAAGTTACAAGTCAGCAAACTACAAGTAAAGTGAGTTGCGAATATACAAGCTATAAGTTTAATTGTGTTAACAAGTTTTGTAAAGCTTTGTAATTGCTTTAACGAGTATTGTTAAGAGTTTTACGGTATTAGCAAGTATTGTAAATTGTTTGTTGTACAATAGAGTTAATTGTACTACAATTTGGTCATCGTGAGCATTTATTTAACAATCCAGCGATACGAGCCCGAGGATATTTGGGAAATCCCTCAAGGTTTCGAGGATAATCGTAACAATATAAATATCCCGTGTCACTGTGTTCGTTTACGCTAATCTCCGATACCGCTTAACCGATTTCAATGACATTTTGTGGGTGTGTATTGTTGGTTCCAACTTAAAAAATAGGATAGTTGCGAACCCGAGAAAAAATATTTTTTTTTCATCGAAATTTTTTCTATGCTTATATAAAAATCGAACTCTTCCTAAACGGCTCGACCGATCTTTATACAATTTTTTGTGTTATGTATGGTAGGTATGAGAATCGGATGTAAAGTATATTTCATACCGCTAGGTGCAGGGGGCGTAGCACCTCCCATACAAACCGAATTTTTCATATTGCACATCTCTGGAAGTGTTCATGGTAGACTACTCGAATATGGTATGGAGATATATGAAAGAATTTGCATATTCATGGATAAAAATTGCGGTTAATGGAAAAAGTTGCGTGGCACCTCCCATACAAACCGAATTTTTCATACTGCATATCCCGGAAAATGTTCATGGAAGGGGTTCGAACTTGGTATGGAGATATATGAAAGCAATCCCATACTCATGGAGATAAATTGTGGTTATCGGAAAAGGAGACGTGGCACTTCCCATACACATCGAATTTTTGATACTGCATATCT